GGCCCGAAACGTCAGCCTCTCTGCTCCTATGATGCTGCTTGGCCTGCTGTGTTCATCCAGCCCTGCACCTTGTAGATTCAGCTGACAACCTCCTTTGCACACAGGATGACTTCTCAGGAGTTGGGTAGGGGTGATTAAAAAACACAATTAAAAAAAATAAATAAATGAATGCTTGGAAATTAACGCACTGGAGCTCTACTTCGAAGTATACAAAAGGAGTCTGTGCAGTTTGTGTCATTTGCCCGTTTCTTCCCTCCCCGACTGTATTTATGTTATTTTTGACATGTATCTCCGGCTGCCGAAGGCCATACTAGTGCGTATGATTTTTAGGTGCTAGCAACCTTGGTCACAAGAGTACGGGCCCTGTCAACACAAAATCTGGATGTGTTTCGCCTGTGGCTTTAGTAGCGCAAAATGGTATTCGTTTCGTTCTGCACACACGTGGTGGGGGCATTTGTCTCCGTCTGAAGTGTCTAGAATGGATCATCATGGCAATGATTCCAATTCCCCTTGAGAGTATGTCCGCAGGGCATCCTAACCCCATGTCTTTTGTGGGTAGACCACGTTGATCCTTTGACCAAGGCTTCTAAAGTAAAGTCAGAACATCACCTTCATACCCACTTTTACCCATGTTATAGAGTCACACAGCATGGAAACAGATCCTTCGGTCCAACTAATCCACGCTGACTGTGTTCCCAAACTAAACTAGTTCTACTTGCCTGTACTTGATCCATACCTTTCCAAACTTTTCATATTCGTGTACTTATCCAAGTGTCTTTTAAATGTTATAAATATATCTGCATTCACCAGTTCCTCTGGCAGTTCATTCCATGTACCAACCACTCTCTGCATAAAAAAATGCCCCTTATGTCCTTTTTAAAACTTTCTCCTCTCGCGTTAAAAATATGTTCCTTAGTTTTGAACTCCTCCATTCTAGAGAAAAGATCCCTGCCATTCAGCTTATCAATGCCCCTCGTGATTTTGTAAACTTCAAGAAGGTAAAACCTCAATTCTTCTAGCTAATAACAGAAAAAGACATGGTAGATGAAGACGGACTATTTTCCTCAGGCTGGGCATTCTAGAACAACCGGCCATAGTCTGAGAATTCGGGCTAGACCATTTGGGAGTGATATTAGGAAGCACTTTTATACAAAAGGGTGGTAGATATTTGGAACTCTCTTCCACAATGGCAGTAGATGCTGGATCCGTTGTTAATTTTATATCTGAGATAGATGCATTTTTGTTAAGCAAAGGTATTAAAGGACATGGGACAAAGGCAGGTATATGGCATTAGGTTCAGCTGGTCTGGCAGCATATGCGAAGGAAAATACAGAGTTAACGTTTCGGGTCCGGTGACCCTTCCTCGGAACTGATGGTGGCTGGGAAAACGTCCGTTTATATGCAGAAAATAGGGAGGTGGGTGGGGTAGGGAGTAAACGATAGGGCCCTAAGGGTTATTAAAAATAAGCCGAATATCTCTCTCTTTCTAATGAGTGAGCAGCCCAGTGGTCCTCTGGGACTATGGCGACTTTGCTTTTGTAAATATAGAAAAGTATTTTTCTTGGACAAATGGTTGTATTTATGGGCGTGCATAACCTGGTTTTTCCACATTTAGAAACTGGCGTTACAATTTTAAACCCAGTGGTATTATATTACATGTATGTAGTAGGTTGAATGGAGAAAAGAGGGAGATAAACTTCCCCAATGGGCCAATGAGTATATCCAGGTAAGCCACAGACAAGATCTTCTCTATTTCAATACATAGTGTCTGCTCAGTTAGGATAGTAGCAACTTGTAGGAATACAACAACTGAGCTCAGTATGACTGAGTTAGAGACCAGAAATTAGAAAGACTTTCATGTCCTTGTTGGAAGAAGACAAGATATTCGGCTTATTTTTAATAACCCTTAGGGCCCTTTATGAAGTTCTGCTGGTACTGCCAAGGCTTACTTATGAATCATGATCATTTGAGGAAGATACTAGTATCTGTGGAACTGTACATAGCAAAGTGTCCCAGTTCAATTGAGATAGGTGCAAAGTACATTTCTGATTGGATTATTTTGACAAGTAGCTTCTAAGCCTGAGGAACTTGCGTCTTGGTCCCCTCATAAAACTGTTAAAAGAATACCTTCAAATGCATATATATTGAGATGTATTTTTTATTTGAAAAGACTGCCAAAAATAGATAAAATCCAGATGCTCCTGTTGGAAATTATCCTCTATATCGTGAATCAGGATGAAATTAATCCTTGTTTGAAGATTCACCAATGTACTGTACTTCTTTAAAAATACACTCACTATCAGGATGCAAGTTCCAAACTACTTTTCTTCTTCTTTGGCAGCCCCTCAGGGTCGAGGATAACTTGCTTTCACCCCGAGGGTTGGGTTCTGCAGTGGCTAAATAGTCGAGTTCTGGAGCTACAGACTGTGCCATAGATAGGGCGTGAGATATTTGAAGAGGCAAGTGGGTGGGATGCTCTAGATTCTGCATGCTGTTTCTGCTGCTTGTGTTTGGCCTCCACGTGCTCCACTCAGTGATGCTCAAAGTGATTGGTGCTGTTGCGGATGCGCCTTCTGTAGTTTCAGTGTTCTAGGCCAAGCAATTCCCAGGTTTTTGTAGGAATGTTCTTTTGTTTATGGAGGGTGTCCCTGTAGCATTTACTTTTCCCTCCTAGCGATCACTTGCTATTGCAGAGCTTAGAGTAGAACACTTGTTTATGGAGTCTTGTGTCAGGCTCCAATGTGGACAATGTGGCTCGCCCATTGCATGCTCGTTACCAGGGATATTGGTCTGGAAGTATTCTACCAGTAGATTTGTAGGATTTTGCGAAGGCATTGCTGATGATAACTCTCCAGGGATTTGAGGTACAAGCTGTCCATGGTCCATCTTCCTGAGGGTGGGTCCACGGCTCCACTGTAGACCATGAGCTTGGTGCTGAGCTTGAGGTGTTGGACTTTGAACACACGGTTTCTTAGGCGTCTGAAAGCTGCACTGGCACACTGAAGTCAATGTTGGATTTCAATGACAATGTCTGCTTGCATTGAGAGGAGCCTCCTGAAATATGAGAAATGATTCACGTTGTTCAGGGGCTCACCGTTTGATGGTTGAGGGCAGTGTTGTGCAACAGGGATGGTTAAGGGCTGGTAGAGAACCTTTGTTTGTTAGATGTTTAGTCAGAGGCCCAATCTCTCACAGGCCTTGGTGAATGTGCCAACGATGGTTTGTAGCTTGGCCTCTGAGTGTGTGTGCACGTGGGCATTATCTATGTAATGCAGCTCAATGATACAAGTTGGGATGGCCTTGGTTCTGGCCAGGAGGCGAAGGTTGAACGGCTTTCCACACGTCTTGTGGGTTTGCTCCACTCTGGCAGGGAGCTTCATGGAGATGTGGTGGATTGTTGAGAACAGGAAAATGGAGGAGTGTTGGTGCAGTGATAGATTCCTGCTTGACCCCAGGTTGCTCTTCAGTTGGGTCTATGATAGACCTGTTGGTGAGAATCACGACTTGCACGCCATCATGAAGTAGGCAGAATATGGTGACAAATTTCTGCAGGTATATGAATTAAAGGATGATATTCCATGGAGCTCTGATTACCTCTTGTACTTTGGAGAAGTAGCATTTATTGTTGAAAGCCTTTGTGAGAATCATTCATAATGTAATTTGAAAACATGTTTATTGGCAATCTTTTCCCACAATGTTAAAATGAAATGTGAGTAGCTCATCTTAGCAAGTGATACTTGAATTAGTTTACTTTTGCAAAATTTACAGTCAGGTTCACTTTTCTGTATTGGCATCAGAAACCCCCTACCTCCACACCCACCACCATGATGGCCAATTCATCGTCGAGATGTATTAACCAATTATAGTCCTGTTAGGGATGGCAAAAGGGGCTTTGGAGTGGTTGTCAGTATCCCTAAGTTAGGGAGAAGGATACCATTCTAGGTACTCACATCTAGTCATTATCCATTTATACCAAGTGAAAAAGCAGGCACATGTATGCCTTTTGCCCATCAGAGTTGAATAGACTGCTGATAAATACTGCAGGACTCCTATGAATAAATGCTACTTTTCCAAAGTACAAGAGGTAATCTGAGCTCCATTGAACTATGCTCACTACAATTATACACTTCAGCAAAGAGAGAGCAGAGAAAAAGTGCCAGAGAAAATGAAGAGAATTGAACTGTACTATTACTGTCATGGTCACGGGTCAGAATTACAAAGTACTATGGACGTTTTTAACCTGTAATTCCAA